AAATCCATGGATGACCACCAGTAAGGGACTCTACATTGGAATCTGCATTACTGCTGTGGTATTGCTCACTGTGTTGGTTGTCCTGATTACCAAAAGTAAGTCATTCCAGGATTGTGCCTAAGGGAAAAAGGATCAAGGATTCTAGAACCAAATTGCCTGAGTTCAAGTAGCTCTACACACCACGTGATTGTGATTGCCATAAATTTGTTTTTCTTCTTCTTCTTCTTCTTCTTCTTCTTCTTCTTCTTCTTCTTCTTCAGAAAGGGTAAGAGGAAAGAGAGATAGAGGGAGAGAGAGACAGCATGAGTGGGGGAGATGGGCAGAGGGAGAGAGAGAGAATCTTAAGCAGGCTCCTTACTCAATGTGGAGCCCTGTGTGCAGGCTTCATGAGATTTGATCCCACAACCCTGGGATCATGAACTGAGCCAAAATCAAGAATCAGACGTCCAACCCATGAAGCCACCCAGACATCCCTAAATTTCTGTTTCCTGAACTGTTCTTTTTTAAAAAAATTATTGGCCTATAAAGATGCAAGTTAAATTCTCCAGAGGTGAAATTAAATCTTAAGAAATGAGAATTTTTTGGGCAGGCTTGGGATTTAGAAGGCAACAAACCATTGTAATATATATGACTTGTTCACTCCTCTTCCACTCCCTCCAGGAACTAATTTTTGTCCCCATGAGTGATGATATTGTTGAATTTTACAACACCCATTTAACAGGAGAGGGAAATGAAACATTGGGAGGGAAACTGATTTCAGGGCTAGGGATAGAGGAAAGGATTTCGAAAGGTAGTCATCCAGCTGTTATGTTCAGGGTGTGTGGTGTGTGGTGTGTGGTGTGTGTGTGTGTGTGTGTGTGTGTGTGTGTGTAGCCTTACATCTATGAAAGCCACAGTCATTTATTTTTAATGAAATTTATTTATTAATAATTGCATTAAAGTAAGCTAAGGCATGTGGATGAATACACTAAGTCATTATGAAAATGAAATACTTTATATAAGAACTTTGGGTCTTATTGATTCAAAAGGAGTTGCCTGAGTAACTAAGAAAGCATCCAGTCTGGGTTTTGATTTTTTCTTTTTTTTTTAAACATTCTTTTCTTCTAAATTTATTTTTTCAGGCTCTAGCTCTGTACAGGTTTTGTTCATAGTAAAGTAATAACAGAAATAATATACTTGTTTGAAAAAAGATCAATGTTTGTAATTTTCTCTTCAACTCTTCTCCAATTTAGAATATTTATGCATAAGAAACAAGCTGAAAGAACTAAAGTAAGTTTGAAAGTGTTTGTGTCAATATCTTTTGATGTTTCTACTCTACTAGAAGTAAAGAAAAATTTCTCCCTGTCCTTCTTCTCTTTTCCCCTAAACTATTCATTTTATACCCTGAAAAATCTAGTTTAATGAACACCACTGTTGTTATCCACAATTTCTAGTTCTGTATACCTCTGGAATTGTTCCAGAACTGCTAGAGAGGGAGTACCCCAATCTTAACCTCTTAGAGCAAGAGAACTAAATCACAAATGTTGTTTGATAGAACATTTGAGTAAGTTATTTGGTTTGTTCTTGATTTCATTCAGTGCTTTGTTTATTGAATGTTTATTGAATGTCTACTATATTTCAAAGAGATGAACAAAGCAGACAGAAAACACATCAGCAAATAAACAGGGACCTTGTAGTGCTTCTAGACAAATTCCATTGGAAATACAGAACAAGGTAATAGGCTATCCGAGTGAGCCCCGAAGGAACAGATGACCGCTCTGCAGAGATCTGGAAAAAGAGAGCTCCAGGCTGAAGAAGTGCAAAGGCACTGTGGTGAGGCAGGTGCCTCTAGTTCTACCCAGTTCAGGCTTTCCCCTGCTGTTCCATCCCCAGCCTGGTCTGCTCATTTACATGAGCTATCTGGCCTCATAAACATTGGAATTTACAGTTTTCATAAACCCATCCTACTGCCCATTTAAAACTTAAATCCCCCTTTTCCTGCATCCATACTTTGGTGTCATCTGCTGGAATAGTTGTAATAGTAGGAAGCCACTACTTCCTTCCAAATCCAAGTAGCTTGCTTCGCTTGGTAGAACTTGGGCTTTAAGCAAGGTGTTTGATTCAAAATCCATTTCTCTTAGAATGCCATACATTATTCCTAGCTCTCCTTTACTCTCTACAAATTATAAAACAGCAACTACATCAAAACCGCATACATGACCTTTCTGTACACTTACAGCATGACTGTATGTTATGAAAGTTGTCTAACCCATGGCTTTCAAATTTGGATCATTAAGACAGTAAGATTTCTGCACCATGATCTAGCCCATGTTTATGTGAAGCAATACTCTTTTACTATATCCAATATATTCTGATATATTTAGTATTCTGTGTTTATCCTAAACGCACAAGATAGGCCACTAGGTAGATTTAATAATGCTCTCTGGAAGGTACGATTCACAGTCAGAAAAACAGCAGAAAACCATTTCTTAGTTACCCTTGAGAATATGCTTCTTGATTTAGGACTTCAATTTGATGTCTGATACCAGTCTTCTTAGATTTTCAATTTTTGTATTCTATTAACATGAGTCTCCTGAAGGAGAATACTTAGGTTTTCTACCTACTTACTAAACAGACTCTCCTTCAACTTAATATTCACAATCCTGGATCTCCTTTTCATTTCATAGGCTGTGTGAATGGGGCTCTGGAACTTGCAAATACTCAGTCTTGCCTGCACGTAAACAAATGTCCTCGCCATACTTTACAAGCGGTCTGCTTTTCATTTACTCATGTTTTTCTTTCCATAGCTTGGTTTCGTTGAGTGACCCTCAGACTGGAGCTTTGCAAAGTGCATCTGAAGTGGGTATGCGAGCAGAAGACAATATCTACATTATCGAGGAC